CTCGTCATTAATCAAAAAGTGAACAAGCCGTTAGGCTCCGCCAACTAGGAGTGAGAGATGAGGGGTTATCTAAAAAAAATGTTTGAGATCCAAGGAAAATTCCAGAGGCGATTTATCGGTCCGTAGAGTAAAATTTACTTTACTTATACGTTATACGCAGTTGGACGGGAAATTTATCGCTACACTGAGAGACGTGGTTCAAGATGAATGTTAGAAATTCGACATGGGTGGATGGACGGGTGGAAACTTGTAAGTTGCGAAATTTAACACCAAAAAACATTGAAAGATCAAACTACATTAGGATGTAAAGAAAAATCACAACAACCAACACGGATAACAGCCCATAACTTCGACATTCGAACACAAATGACTTGAAAAAATTCGTAAATGAGTACAAAATATTGACAAAATAATGTCAATGTTTGATCAAATTCTAATCAATTTGTCCCAGTTAAAAAAATTCATGAGAAACGCCTGAAAAACAGCCTCCTAATGTGGTTTCCTCGCTTAATATCATTAAAATATTTTGCAATTTTATAACATTTTTGGAAGCTCTATTTTCAACGTTTAGTCCAAGCACATTTGTAAAATGACTGAGGAATTTTTCTATTAGGTAGCAAACCCATTGTGTTCTTGACTGTTGTAATTGTTTGAAAACCAGCAAAATATACAATTTTCTTTGTGGAAATGTCAAATTTTAGGTATGAGTAGGTACATGTTCACATCTGCAGGGTGGTCGATAATTTTATAGGGTACAGCCAAAACGGTGATAGATACAAAAAATTTGATATCGATGTCCCGTCCTATCGGTGCGAAATATTTTTATGAAATTTGGTATTCCGGAGTTTTTAAGGATGCCAAATACGCTGGTCTAATTATTTTTTGGATATTTCATAAAGGGCGCTAGTTATGCTGCATTCCTATTACGTTTTAAGTTTTAATTTTTTAAGGTTAGGTTTTTTACCATTTGAGCTCCAATTTCTAATGTACAATTTTATTTTCAAAAAATAATGTACTCTTGTTAAAACCTCCTAATGTGGGCGGTTTTCGAGAAAAAAGGCTTTTAATTGAACTCTTACAATATTATGGTGTATAAAAAAAGTGACTTTTCTCAGAGTAGGCTTGTGTCAAAACTTATTGATGGATGTCTCATAAACAATGCATTAATTCTCAGTAATATTTTAAACTCTAATTAACTTTATATCAAAATTTTAGTGACTGTAATTAGTCATTACATTCACTAACAATTTTTTACAAATCGCACAGTCTTTTGTGCGATTTACATAAACATAAGTTTTTTTAAATTTCACATTTCAAAATTTATAAAACCAAGTAATAGTCGTTCAACAAGCTTTCAATTAGTCAAAATTAAATTAACTGTCAATATTAAACAACAAAAGACGAATATTAAATAAATCACTTGGCCAACTTAAAGAATACCTAAAATTTTTTGCATTTTTCTTCATTTAGACAAATAAAATAAATCATTAGAAAAAGTAAAAAAAAATCGCTATTCAACAGGATGGTCAAATACAGGGTGTTCTACACACAAATAAGTCCAAACCCAAGATTTAACATATCATTTACTTTTATGAGCTGAAAACGATGCCGTACCCAGAATTCATGCACGACCGGCAAGTATCTTGTAAAATCTATATTTAGGGTGAAAATGGATCCAAAAATCGCTCAATTTAGTCAAAGAAAGAGTCTCCGTTTTACTCACACTAGCGAGATTATGGTTAATCTTTGTTTGTAGAGTCTACACTTTTAAAATGATCTGCGAAGAGGATACCTTTTTCTTTTTTTTTTTCGCCTTTAGTTTCCGGTATATCATGTTTCAGATTTCATCAATAGTCTCTATTTCGCCATGACGGCATTTTTTACCTAGGAAATTAGCCGATATAAATCGTTGATCTGAAAAATAGAAAAAAAATTACTTATGATGTTACTGCTATCAACTGAGCGACTTTTGACTCTTTTCTGAGTATATAAAACCAATTTATAGTTGACTTTTTCTCTAATATGATTTAAATTTAACTATTATTGAGTAATTTTTTACACAGACTTGATTTATATTCTCTTTAAATTTTATGTAAATATCATTGTATCAACTACTAAGCTGCCACAGTGGTTTCTACACAGATCTGTTTTAGAGACAATATTTTAGGTCCCGATTAGAAATTGGTGAACTGATCGGACGAATTGATTGCCATAACGTACGAGGGTGGTCTGAAAAGTTTCCGACCTAACAAAGATACAAGACATTTTTTCAGAATTTTTTTTATTTTTCAACATAGTCTCCTTGTAACTCTACACACTTCTCCCAACGATGCTCCCATCTCTGTAACCCGTCCAAATAGTACTCAGCGTTTTTCTCTGCAAAATAATTGTTCACGAAGGTGATTGCCTCTTCATTTGACGAAAATCTCTGTCCTCCGAGCGCAATTTTTAGATGAGGGAACAAAAATAAGTCGCTTGGGGCTAGATCTAGTTAGTAAGGCGGATGGTCAAGCAGATCAAACCGTAATTCGTGGATTTTCGCTATGGCAACCGCTGAAGTGTGAGACGGTGCGTTGTCTTGGTGAAACAGGATTTTCAGCTTGTCAAGTAATGATGCGTAGTATGCTCCTGTAATGTTTTTTCCTTTTTGAAGATAATCGATTAAAATAAGTCCATGGCTATCCCAAAAAACAGTCGCCATCACTTTCCCAGCCGAAAAAACAGTTTTTCCTTTTTTGGAGCCGGTTCCCACTTTGCAGTCCACTGTTTGGACTATATTTTTGTTTCAGGCGTATAATGGTGTATCCAAGTTTCATCTACAGTAATTAATCGGCGCCAAAACTCGGATTTATTGCGCCTAAACTGCGCCAACAGAGCGTTGGAAATGTTCATTCGAACACGTTTTTGGTCTAACGTTAACAAACGCGGCACCCAACGCTCGGACAGCTTTCTCATGTTTAAATGTTGATTTAATATGTGACAAACATGTTCTTTTGACATGTTCATAACCTCTGATATATCTCTCACTTTAATTCGGCGGTCGTCTAGCACCATTTGGTGAACTTTGGCGATGTTTTCATCGGTAGTTGCAGTTTTTGGACATCCCGAACGTTCATCGTCTCCCAAGCTCTTACGGCCACTTCTAAATTCAGCTGCCTAAAATTTCACTGAGGTAAATGATGGTGCGGAGTCCCCATACACAGAATCCAATTCATCTTTGATTTGCGTAGGCGTATTGCCTTTCAAAAACAAATATTTAATGACAGCTCGATACTCGATTTTGTCCATTTTCATAAAAACACTCATATCAACTCACTCAAACGACTGTTACATAACAACTGCGCCTCCAAAATGGGTGAAACTTTGGTGGGTAGCTGTCAACAGATGAACAACGAAATTCACAAGCTTTTATTTACGAGTGCTGCCATCTTCATGTTGAGGTCGGAAACTTTTCAGACCACCCTCGTATATTGTACGTTACAAATACGTAATTATAGATAATAATTTAACTATCCGTTTATTTAACCAAATATTTATCGAAACTTAATATATTGTCTTTGATTATTGTAATTAAATCAATGCATTTAAATATAATTTTCACTAGAATAATCAGATAAATCGATACTTGTCCAACTCCAAAACACACCATGGGCCATACTGCCATTCACCACGCCAAAAAATCAGTGCAATTGTGGAAGATCCTTGGGATCGTCCAGACTAATAATTAGTTCATTTGTTTATAAGGTAAAGGTAAACTATTCAACTTACCGATTCCAGATTTCGTGTGAGTTATTAGACAGTGATAAGGAATGAGAGGATGCGATGCCAAAACTTTCTGGTGATAATAACGCAGTTTATAAATGTTTAATTCAAAAGTCATAAATAAACTTCTTCTGTTTATAACTTTTGATCTAATCAATATTTTTTGACGCTCGAGGGCTAGATTTGTAGGTCTTTTGAAGACGAAAAAAAAAGTACTATACTGTTTTCTCGTAGAAATGAACGGAAAAAGGTTATAAGCGAAAAACGTAAATTTACGTAAAAATTAAACAATTAACCACCCTGTAAACAATTTTCCCCCCATTTTTATGACTGTGGAAACTAATATGTTATTGTAGGGTAGACCGGGGACAAAAGTACCAGGGTACAGTTGTAACGCCGCCATGATTTCGTAAGCTATAGTAGATGAACATGCGCAGAGTCCATGGAAGGTTCGTCTACTATGTGGCAACGCTTCGCTTAGTTCACAGATGACCTCCGCGACGAACTGCCGCGTAGTTAAATGAAAGAGTGTTTTTACATACCGTAAGTAAGTTTTTCTATGTTTAATTAATATCAAATATCTAGGTTTTTAAGTACATCAGCTGACTTCCGTAACTGCCATGTGATGAACTGATGTTTTTGCTTATCTGTTTGTATATTGCAACTAATTGTATTTCTATGGTTTGAGATAAAACTCGTAACATTGGAGAAAAATTCAATCGGAGATAATAGTAACAATGTGTACGGGGACAATTGTACCGTTACAATTTTCCCCATGGGGACGTTTGTAACGGCATAATTATCTATTAGGAATGTTGGAAACTACTAAGATTTGTACTGTTTGTAGTTTTTTAAGATGAGTTACATAATAACAGTTGGTTGCATGAGCAGCTTGAGTTCCACATTTGCACGAGCCGAAGCCGAGTGCTGTCTGTGGGGCGAGTTAATATGCAATAAATTTATATTTTATTTTTACTTTTAGAATGCCTCGAACAGGAATACGCAAAACAACGCGAGCATCACATGACATTACTGTATATCAGCGGGCATATGAAGAAATTATTAATCGCCAGTTATCCGTTCGTTCAGCTGCGAAACAGTTTGGTCTATGCCATGTATCTCTAACGAGATACAAAAGAAAGAGAGAATCCGCCAATGCGGAGAACAATCTAGAAATTTTTGTTTCAATGGGCTATAACAGTCACAATCGAATTTTCACAGTAGCACAAGAAAGCATAATGGCTGACTACATTATAAAGGCTGCGGAAATGTATAATGGTTGTTCACCAAAAGATATTCGCAAACTGGCTTACGAACTGGCAAAAAAATACGAGTTGAGAAGACCTCCTCAGTGGGATGAAAATGGCCTAGCAGGTGAAGACTGGTTTTCGTCTTTTATGAAAAGAAATCGTCAGCTATCCATAAGCTGCGCACAACCAACCAGTCTTTCAAGAGCAACAAGTTTTAATCTGACAAATGTCAATATTTTCTTTGACAATTTAGCAAAGATATTAGATCGAGAGCATTTTGAGGCTAAAGATATATATAACGTCGATGAAACCGGCGTTACGACAGTACAAAAACCGGATAGAGTTGTCACAAGGAAAGGAATGAGACAAGTTGGGGCTCTAACTTCAGCCGAACGTGGAACTTTAGTTACCATTACAGTGGCTGTAAATGCTATTGGTAATGCTACACCACCTATGTTCATTTTTCCCAGACTAAGATATCAGGAACATTTTGTTAGAGATGGGCCTGTAGGTTGTATTGGTAGCGGTAATGCTAGTGGGTGGATGCAAGAGGAACAATTCGTTATATTTTTGACCCACTTTCAGAAATACACTAACTCATCTATTACCCAGAAAGTATTGTTATTACTTGACAATCATTCTTCACATATATCCATACAGGCACTGGATTTCTGTAAGGAGAATGGTATTGTTGTTTTGTCTTTCCCTCCACACTGCTCCCATAAACTGCAACCATTAGACCGGGCTGTATATGGACCATTTAAAAAGGCGGTTAATTCGGCTTGTGACAGTTGGATGAGAAATAACCCTGGAAAGACAATGACAATATACGATATCCCAAGTATTACAAGGACAGCATTGCCTCTAGCACTAACTCCAACGAATATTCAAGCTGAATTTCGATGCACTGGTATATTTCCATTCAATAGAGATATTTTTAGCGAACTAGATTTTGCCCCATCATTCGTAACAGATAGACCTATTCCATCACCACATGGTATTGAAGAAAGTCTAACACCCGCAAAAACCAATCAAACAGCGTCAAGCATAGTAGAACCATCGACAAGTAGTATAACACAGCCACATACAACAACACCATCGCCAATCACTCAACCATCTACAAGTTCTAAACTGACACAATTAAGTTTCGAACAATCAACATGCATGCAAACAGCTACATGTTCTCATCCCTCGACAAGCAGTCCACATTCAAATACACCACAACAAGCGAATATGGCAAAGGAAATAGCCCAAGCAACTATTCAGGCAGGATTCGCTCCTGCATTTTCTCCAGAATCCATAAGACCTTTTCCTAAAGCTCCCCCAAAGAAAGAATCAGTGCAAGAAAGCAACGAAAAAGAAATCGACAGTTTACACGGACACGCCTGAAAAAGAGAAAATTAGGATGGAATATGAAGAAAAAGAAAGTGAAGAAGAGTTTTAATATGGATCAAGATAAAGGAAAGCAAAAGAAGACAAGGATAAAAAAGTCGATTGTATCAAAACCTTCCGAAACAAGCGACGACGAAGATGAATATTTTTGCATAATGTGTCTGGAACCTTTTAGTTCCAGCAAGCCCGGCGAACAATGGGTCAAGGGTGTGGAGTGTAAGCTTTGGTCTCACTTAAAATATACCAAACAGGAAGATTTTTACATTTGCCAAAATTGTGATTCCGATTGATCTCCATATCTGTACTGATTGATGTATTTTGCCAAAGAAAATTATGTTATTTTGAATTATCAATACAGTCTGATTTAAGTTCTCAATGCAGCTATATTTTAAAATGACAATGTGATGTTTATTTGTGATTTTGTAACTTAAGTACAAATTAAATCATATGTTTAAAATAAATGACATAATATGTTACAATTGTATCCGTCCATTGTTACAACTGTCCCTGGGGTCGAGGCTGTTGTAACACTTTGCAAAGTATTTAATGGATGCAAATAACTTTTTTTGTAATTGCAAATAAAGTTTGATTCAGTGTCATTTAGCAAAGGAATGAATTCTGCATCATAAGGTGTCAAAATCGTTTGTGTAACTGCCATATTTTTGTTGCCATAGCCCAATAAACCAAAAATGTTATTATTATCCCCGGTCTACCCTACCGGTTGATTCTTTTATCATGGGAAATGAGTTTTTCTCGTAAACGGCTGCAGCAAATTGAGTTCTGTAAAAAGTATTTTATTTGTTCTGATTGATGCTTGAAATTGCGATGGATATGAAAGTTATAATTAAGCGACGCTGAGCGTCGCGACGTTTCAAAAATTTTTTTGTCAGAAGCATACCATTTTTATTTCAGAAATTGGAAGATCTATTGAATAGAAACACTTTTTCCAAATACCATTTTTTTCATCTAAAACCATTCAAAAATTACAGACCAGTTTTTATGTGTTAAATTGGTCGATTGCCATGCAAAGAATGCATGGTTTTTTAAATTTCACTAAAGCATGTAGAACTTGAAAAAACAAAATTGGCTTATATTAATTGATGTCTGAAATTGTCAGTGTAATTTTAATCATTTCTATTAAAATAGTAAGTAATAAGAAATATAACACATTCAGAAAAAGTTGACATGCTTTTGTTATACGGAGAAGCCCAAAAAAATGCTTTAACTGCAAGAAGATTATATACGGAAAAATACTCTGAACGCAACCTTCCAGACCACAAAATTTTTGCTAGGTTAGAAAGTAGTTTGCGTTAAAACTCTAAAGCATTTGAAAGTAGGTTTTGCGTTTTTTTATAAATCTCCATAAATTCAATGAGCCAAATTTGCAGGTAAAAGATTAAGAACAAAAACTGTCACGACGGATGAAAATGTGGCAATTATTTTAAATTACTTTAACAATCATCATGAAGCTTCTATAAGAGAGGCTTCAAGAGACTTAAATTTAAATTATAGCGTGATACAAAGAGTTTTAAAAAGCAACAAATCATCCTAATTTGCAAGAACTTTCGCTAAGAGATTGTGAGCGGAGGGAGGATTTTATTTGTCAGTTTTTGGTGTCTTTGGATGATAATCCTAATTCATTTTCTCATATATTATGGACAGACGAAAGTCATTTTGTTAGTCATGGATTACCAAACAAAAAAAATACCCATTATTGGTCGGACGAAAACCCGTATAAAATCAGGCAACATCAAAGGCAGGACCACTTTGGCATAAATGTCTGGTGCGGAATAGTCGGGCGGCACTTAGTAGGGCCATACTTTTATGAAGGCGCCTTGACGGGCGCAAGATACTTAGATTTTCTCCAAAATCACCTTCCTCTTTCGCTGGAACATGTGCCACTGCAAATCAGAAGAAACTTATGGTTTCAACTAGATGGAGCTCCTTGCCACAATGCGGCCATTGTTCAAAATTATTTGAATGAATTCTACCACGGAAGATGGTTGGGGACACACGGGCCCTTGAAATTTCCGCCTAGGTCCTCGGACTTGACAACCTTAGATTTCTTTTTATGGGGAACTTCAAAAAATATAGTGTATAAAACAAAATCTAATAATTTAGATAATTTAAAACAAAACATTATTGATGCGTGCAATGGAATATCTGGTGATGTTTTAAGAAAAGTTACATCTTGCGAAATAAGAAAGCGGTACAATTTACGTTTAGATAACGATGGCGCCTATATCGAGCAATTGTTAAAATAAGATTTGTGAATTAAGAGTTAATTTTTACTAAACACAGTTCATGTTATTCTTTAGTGTTTTATGTATTGGTTGTTGTTAGTGTAAACGTTCATTATTTCTTAAACAATTAAATTAGTGTTATTAAATGTAGTAACATTTTGTAAATTGTTTTCTTTAAATCCTAAATTATATTGGTGGTCAATATCAGCATAAAAGTTAGCCTGCCTGCTTTAGTGAAATTTAAAAAACCATGCATTCTTTGCATGGCAATCGACCAATTTAACACATAAAAACTGGTCTGTAATTTTTGAATGGTTTTAGATGAAAAAAAAATGGTATTTGAAAAAAGTGTTTCTATTCAATAGATCTTCCAATTTCTGAAAAAAAAATGGTATGCTTCTGACAAAAAAAAATTTGAAGCGTCGCGACGCCCAGCGTCGCTTAATTATAACTTTCATATCCATCGCAATTTCAAGCATCAATCAGCCCAAATAAAATACTTTTTACAGAACTCAATTTGCTGCAGCCGTTTACGAGAAAAACTCATTTCCCATGATAAAAGAATCACCCTGTACATAATATTTTGCATCTATAGCGATAAATTCAGCTTGCCGAAACAAAAAATCGCGAAACGGTCCATTTCCCAGCTTATTTTCCTGGCCTACAAATACGAGTTTACGTGACAAATTTATTTAAAGAGTACCTATATTTGAGAGAAAGTGCTCAGTTTTAGTTTAAATATAATCACAAATGAGTAAAATTATCAAAATGCCCGAATGTAGTGAAAATGTACTCAATAATTTCACTCAATGCAGTAGATGTGCATTTAAGCCCTAATGAAAAATGTCTCTCAGTGTACCACCCGTGCAACATTTGAGTAATTTATTTCACTTCATCTTCGACATAATTCAATTTCCATTTCGGGTATCTGCTTCTATTACAAACTTCTACTAACCGAGGTGTTCATTTTGGGCAACAAAGGCTGTTTATTCGCAACAATCCACGTCCTGATTGGTCCTTGCCTTTTCAACGAACTTATACACACACATCTCCATTTTCCACAATAAAAACCCGCCGAGTCACTCCTTAATTTCGCGCTCTTGTGTAACAATAATGATACGCCTTCGTAAGGGCCCCATAATGCAAATAATTCGGCAAAAACGTCAATATCGTGCTATCGATCAAACTTGGACGGCGTATGTTTACAAAAGTGCGTTTATCGAGAAGGCTTTGTAAATGGAAATTAATTATTTAGCAGGAAGTCCTGTGAGGAAATGTGTCGGTTCTATCGGTTGTTGTCTGTGTGACCGAGAATGGTGTCAAGAAGGATTAGGGGGCTTTTCAGGTAATTCAGTAGCGACGATGAAAATCGATTTTTCACTTTTGTGTAAAGTAATTATTGATATAAAAAGTGTATTAGGACTAGAAGCCACGATGTAGTTTTAGCACTTTTAGCTCATAGTTATTATGCAGGGTGGGCCACCAGTAACGCCTCGATCGCTAGTGACCAAACGGCAAATGTTAGAGAAACCTGTATAGGTGGGCATGTGTAGGTTGATTACGGCTACATTTTAAAAATATTTTAAAATATACAGGGTCTCCAGGAAAAGCGTACCATATCAAAGTTATGTTTTTTAAATGGAACACCCTCTATTTTACTGCATTTCTGAAAGCACCATAAAAAAATAGGTGAACTTTATTAAAGGTTCTGCATACCTAGGACTTACAGTTTGTGAGATATTTCAATTTTAGTGAAAATGCAGGCATAGCGTAGAAATTTAATATTAGCAATAAAAAAATTATTTTTAAGGAAGCAGCTTTGGAGGGTCTATTTTAGATCCTTGAAGTTATAAATTGTTATATTTGTCGTCACTTAGTATTATACAGGGTGTTCAAAAAACTGCTGAATATTTCCCTCAACCTATACACAGTTTGACTTGG